GCTACGAATTGGCAGGATATACTTTCGAAGTACCCTGGGCCGAATTCTGAATCTGCATCTGCAATGGTAAGAATCACATTCTCGCAATCTTTGACCTTCACGAGCTCTTTGAAGGCATAGGCCACATTGCTGGCTTTGCCGGGAGGATCGTTTGGAAGGTCCTTCGGATGATAGACTGCCATGATCTCCTTTGCTGCCACACAAGGGTACTCTCACAATGTAGTCACTCCCAGCTGAATGCTCTGGCTCAGAACATTCCAAAGCACCAACATGCAATCCCTCAGCACAGCATGAATTTACTAAACACCAGCAGCACTTCTGACACAGCTAATTGGCCAAGCCAAGAGATCCAGGATAATAGAAGCAATGGATCCAGAGTACTTCTAGGAATGGCCTCCAACCTACTAGCGATGGCCTCCCACCTAGAATCAATGGCCTCCAAGAGTCTAGAAAGTCATCCTTGTACGCCTCCTTGAGTTCTTGTGCTTTTCCTTCCAGCATGACTCTCGCGTGACTATGACCAACTGCTACTACGCACGACCCAACGTCCGCTCCAGGCCCTTTATTTTCCTGAAGGAATGCCTCATCATGCCTCATCCAACGACATCCACAACCTCCTTCTGTGTTGCAGTTGGAGATCCGCAGCAGGTGAGCGGAATGTTGCGGTAACGTTTGCGGCATGTTGCGACTGTGATGGATGAAACTGCCATTGAAAAACCTGATAGAAGTGGCCATGGCACTAACATGGGCCTCAAGCAGGTCAAATGAAAAGCCGGACCTGTGACCCAACTTACAACAGAAGCATCCCTACCAATAAAAGGTTGGGATCGGCATAACTCGGGTAGAACAGCAGGACGAAGGGAATTGAAGCACCTTTGGTGGGAACAAGCACAACATGAGCACTTGCAGCTGGTGCCTATGAACAAATACTGTTCAGGCTTCTCTCGACTGATCTTTGAGATTCTTCGAGACAAAGTGCGTGGACATCTATCGGTTGTCACGGGGAGTGGAGTCGGTCCTTCTGCGCCTACCTCCCGCTCTTCCATGGCCAGAACAACGCCAATCGATGCTTTGGCGTAGGTGCTTTGCGCCACCGATTTCAAACACATCCCGATGGTCTCCACATCTTCCTTGTACTGTGGCCTAGGTTGTGAAACATCAAATTAATCTGAAGGATTGAAGGGCAAGATAGGGTAAGTGCAAGCTTCGTTGTGTTCCTCTATTCTTGCCGCTCTTGCCACATTTTGAGCACATGTTTAGGATGCATCGTATTGGTCAAAAACCTGCTACCTGTATATGTTTATTCCATGGTCGCCACTCCTGCCCAGTGAGGAGGGTAGAACTCAGGCCAGGACAGAATCAGCCAATGCCTCGGGACCAGTCCAAATGTCGAAATCGGAGACATGATGGGCTTCAGGCTGAAGCAGCCAAAGCACAATGCATTCAAGCAGCACCAGCAGGGTCCATTTGGCCGAGTTGCTTCACATCACGTGGGTGCAACTCTGTCTTGATGGTCTCATCAACCGCGAAGTCCTTTGGGTCCTCTGGGAACTGTGCGCGCATCCTGCAAAGGCCAAAGCCTGCAAAGATGGACATGTACCTTGGTGAGACGGAACCTGCAGCAGGGCTTTTTTCAAGCCGAACCGCTGAACCTTGATGAACCGTGGCCTAGGGAGTTGAAAAGGCCGAATGGGACCTATGGAGCTGTGTTCACTTGTTCTTTGTCATACGCATGATCTGCCAGCATTTCAGCTCGGGCGCAGAGTGTTGTGGAAGACAAAGGCCGAGGTTAAAAGTGTTAAGGCGGCTAGCACCTTGAGGTCCAGCTGCATGATGTTGCAAGTTGCTTCCAAAAATGCATTCAATTCAAGGACTCTGAAAGAGATGATTGAAGCTCACAGCAGGTTTGTTTGCCTCAAAATCGAGGAGAACTTCATCTTAATGATTCAACCTGATTCTTGCGTGCCTCCTGGGGAAAGGGTCGCGCCAACATGATCATTAGCAGAGGCGTGCCAAAGACCATGATCGATGGCACAGCGCAGCAAAAGGTCGCCCAAACATCGTAAATCCGCCTGAGTGGAACAAAGCACTGTCGCACCAACTGTGTCGCCCAGTGCTTCATGGAGTCGAACTGGATAGTTACTGGCTCACCATGGCACACCCCCACACCAAACTCTTAGAACCTTCGGAAAACTTGATCGAGCTTGATTCTGCAAGAGTGCTTGCCTGGAAGTTGGTGTTAGCTTATGTTTTGGCAAGATTGGCAGCTTGTCTATGTAGGGCTGCAGGGGATCTTGGCCTTCTCTGGCCTCCTGAGGGAAAGCGGCAAGCAGAATTGAGTCGTCCGACGAAAGGACCGAAAAGAACCGAAGCATCCGTCGGCCTAGAATCCGCAAAGGGTGTCTCATGAATATGTAAGTCATCTAGATGCTGGGGGATCAATGAAAAGGCTTCGGCGGCCTAGAATGTGTTTACAAAATGCTCGCAAAAGGCGACATCACTGTTGGAGCTCATTCAAATGTCCGGCTCTGCCGGCAATGACAACATTAACGTCTGCACAATCACAGTCCTCTTGTCTTCCTTCTGCAGAACCGTCGGCCTACAAGAACTTTCAAACGGATGAACAAAAGTGTGCCCAAGACGACTCCAAAACTGAACTTTCAAGATTCCATGGTGGGTGGAACTGCGTCTACTTTGAGTGAGGGTGCGGCAGCCTCGTGCTCGATGGTCTTCTGGTACCTCTCCTCCACTCTTAGACACATGCTGACCAACCTCGGAGTGGCGGTCAGAATGGTGAGTTGCACCACCTCAGCTTTGCTATAGCGTTATACCTACACAATGATCGTGCCTACCAGAGTGGCAGGGTGATTGGCACTACTGGGCCAGACCTCAGCGTTGCCCGTGGCTGCACTCTCCTTGTCTTGCTCTATCTAACCTATCAACCTATCTAACCTATCTATCTATCTATCTATCGATCCATCTATCTATCTATATCTATCTATCTATCTATCTAAGCAATTCTAATCTAATCTAATCTGAATCCTATCCTATCCTATCCTATCCTATCTATCCATCTATTGATCTATTTATCGATCTATGTATCGATCTATCGATCGGTGGATCGCGGTCAACTCAGTGTTGATTAAATCAATCTGTGTCGTGTTGTGGCCGCCGGTTTGCTGATACAAAACATTGCATTACACAACATGATAATACAAGTATCTTACAGTATCATTCAGGATGGTGGACCTCTTCAAGAAAGCACATGGGGCAAGCCAAGTGACACTGTCATGCCTAAGAGGCCTCCAACGAGCACGGCTGGGTAAGCTACAGTGCAAAGGATGCAAACCATCGGCATGCTGATGTAGGACACATCGTTCCACCTGCGTGTCCAAAGCTTGGCATCCGGCCAGCCACGGTCACGCAGACACATGCACATCATGGAGGCTTGGTCTCAGCTTCCAAACCACATGTCTTATCCGTTTCATCCAACAATCATCGGACCAAACCCATCCAGATCCACCCTGATCCCAAACAAAACACTCGTCGCGATTCGCCTGACGTTGTGGTTGGGCAGGGTGGAAACCACACCATCCGGGTGCGATTCGGTGACCCTTGCCCACTTGACGTCCGAGTTCCAGACATCGGATCCTTGGCACGGCCGGCCCGTTTCCGGCGCAAAGGAAGGCGTGAGAGCAAAGGCAACGGAACTGCAATGGTTTCGAAGTCGAGCAAAGGCTTAGTTTTGGGGGTTTGATTGGCAACAGTAACTATAGTATATAATGAACCATGAGTCCCAAATCCACAGCTGCTGTTTGTCTAGCCCAACTCATGATTCCAAGGGCACAGCCATCACTGCTGAAAAGGGAATTGGAATGTGCCACATGCAGACTGCCTCAACTCGCCAAGTGTCCAGAGGGCACATTGGAATCTGGGAGAAAATCTACATTCTTCAGCGAGAAGGCCTGCCGTGCAGACTCCCACATGGAAGAATTCGTTGGCAGCACCAGCATATCCCGTACATCCTCAGCTGATGTTGCTCAGGACTTTACACCCATAGGCCATAGACTGAAGCTGTAGGTGGTCAAAAGGGCCGCAAGCGCATCGACTTTGCATCCAAGCCACAGCCACGGGAGCCACAGGAGCGACTAGCACTTGAAGCGCGAGGATTCCATCGGATCTAGAGCCAGTTTCCCTGACGAGACATACAAGACAAACGTCGGACGATGGTTGGACTGTTCGGAAGTGTCCTCCCTATCTGATCGTGCACAACCAGACTGAAATGGCACCGAAAGGGCCTCAGCAGAGAGAAGGCCACCTGCCGAACACAATCTCAAAAGACTCATTCATCTGGAATGTCTGACGACTTGTGCATTTCAGAAGTTCAAAGTGTCTTGTGTAAGTGGCGGCCACCATCTGAAGACACTCATGGGGCTGCCCTTCGATGAATGCCAGAGTTTAGTTTGTTTCTTTCCAACGCAACAAGAACCCACTTCCCGACGCTCACACCTCAAAGGCACAGCATATGAAGACTGATCTGACCTGCGGGTGCATACGCAGGGAGCCAACCAACTGCTAACCCGGGAAACTGCTCAACCCGCAAAACTGCCACCAACCGCCCGCTCGAAGACTGAAATTCACCGAAAGCGTTGCTCAACTCAACAGCATTCAACTCCTTTAGTTTCACAGAAGGCCACAATGTGCAATGATGTGCTGCCCACTTGTGGCCCTGTGACGCAAAATGCCAAAGAAGCGCCTGCCAAAATGGCATGCCGCATATATTCAGTTAGCGAATAGGATTGGCCCTGGACTTGAGCCAAAAAGACAGGCAGTCCCTACTCTGAATCGACTTGAAACAAAATACTTTGGAAAATGTCTGATGTTGACTGCTCAGCTGATGAGCACAGGAGAAGGCTATGGAGAAGCAACTCCCACCGCAAATCCCTGGCACCCACACATGCTCACCAGGATTGCCCATCCACCCGAGTCTCTCATGGCACCGAAGGTGAGCTCATCAGCATCCACGGCTTCATCAAGCCTTGGCTGCAGTGGCTGTCCTTTGCAGGTGCATTGCTGGAAAACAGTGAGAATAAACATCTGCTACTTGTGGTGCAGCTGGGTGCGGTCATTTCTGTGGATGCAGGAACCAGGAACTGTGATTGTAGGATGGTCTGGGAGCAGTATGGACTGACTACACAAATTATATATAAAATAGTATATGGCGTTGGGAACTTGGTTTGCAAACCACTTGCACAAACGAGGAACTGCAGCCAGCTCTCACCAGAGAAGGTCGCAATGCCTTTCCAGGGCTCCAACAAACTGAGCCGAGGGTCAAAACAGTCAAAAGTCCATGAAGTGTTACATCTGACGCCTGCTCCCTCCAAAAGGATCGGATAGTTCAACCTTCTCTTATTCACAAGCTGGCCCAGGGATGGCCGGGGGAAAGGCTCCAAAAGTGCCTCCACCAGAGCCCAGCTGCAAAGGTATAGAGATGGCGGAGAAAACGGCCTGGCGCAACCGCAGCCGATTGATTTGTCGGCCACCTCTGCCAACTTCAACCTTCAACCGGAGAAGATCCAAAAGAATCTCGAAAACCATCCAGCCACCTTGGATCTTGCACGCAAGGAATCCACTGCCTGCAGCCTCACCAACATGTGAGTCCTATAAAGGAAGTTTGATATAGACTGACGTACGTGCACATCAGAATTAAAAAACATATATATATATATACATAGATATATAACTATACTTTAATGAATATAGTCAGCCCAAGCAACACCCCCAACAACAACTAGAAAAATTGCGTGCGTACCGAAAAACTATGTCAAGCTACAGCCTATAGCCTACCTGTTCCCGGCGGGCTTGCGTCCAAAGCAACCCAGGAAACCCACCAACATCACCGCACTCATTGCTGCAACGCTGTCTGGTCGCCGAAAAAGTAGTTACAAAAGTGCTGGTATGGTTGGAGTGGGACACCATGCTCCGGACCCTGCTCCGATAAGAAACGGCTGCAGAACCTCCTCGGAACCTCCTCCCAACCTGCTCCAGCACATGCTCCGGAACCCCCTCCGGAACCTGCTCCTGAACTTGGAGTCCAGAACGTACTCCGGAGCCTCCTCCAGAACCCGCTCTGGAACCTCCTCTTGAACCCGGAAACTGCTCCAGAACCAGAACCTGCTCCAATCTTCTAAGAGGTCTATACAGTGCTGAAGACCCCTGAAGCTTCGCTGCTGGGGAATTGTATAAATATATATATATATAGTGTTACTCTTGTTTCATGGTCTAATAATTAAATGACTGAACCGTCTCCCCAAACGAACAGCTTCGTCCGAGCTTGACTGGATCAATTCTTGTCGTGGACGGTTTATTGGCTGCTTTGCCCCGCACGCCATGTTCGCCGCACTCTTCTCTGGAGGAGCTGGAGGCCCTGGAGCTGAGGTGGCAAATGGCTTTTGGCCGCCACGAAGCCTGGATCAGCTGCATTGCTAGCAGCTATGCTACAAATAGTTTGCAACATGCATCCCACGCACTGAGCATCCCACGCAGCATGCTCATGCCCCTGGTCAGCCTCTCCGACTGACTGGCGTGTGGGTAGGGGGTGAGGACGGGTGGTGGGCCTACTGAAACACGACTGGGGAACGAGGCACAAGAACCGTTGCAGGCACTCTACTACAGCAACTCCCCATGAACAGTGGGTGCTACACAGCAGCAAACGCCTGCACCACAGGCAAAGGTGCTTGCAATGCCTCCTCTGCAGCCTTGCAGGTCAAATCAAGTAACAAACTCGCTTCCACACGACCTGCGTTCAGGCCCAACGGTGAGGCCGTTTCCATCATGTTCAGCCCCTCCGGCCTTGAGCAAGGCGATCCTCTCCTGCAAAGGCAGCAAGCGCACGCTGGGCCGCGCTGGGAACTTCAAACTCGACGTTGCCGAGTCAAACCATTGCAAGCAAGCGTTTGTAGGGTCTTCAAAGGCCACAGAAACATGCCCACTCCGACCTCATCATTCATCCCATGGAATGCTGGATCTGAGTGCGGGTCCTCAGCGGATTGTGGGATGGCAACAGGAAATGATCGAAAATGGATAGTTCTGGCTCTTTCTGCATGTTTGTGCTCTTTTGGACTGATGCCATGGAGAGGTGTAGTACGTCAACGGCATCGACTTCACGAGGTTGGTTCACAATTCCTTGAGTAGCTGCAGTAAATAGTGCAAAATTTTCGAAACCCTGAAAAAAAATGTTAAGACTTAAACCGATTGAACTCCTGAGATTTCTCACGCCGGTCATCCCCCCGCCGAGGCTGCAGACCCCTGATATGGCGGCTCGGCGTTTCAGCAGGACGGCCTAGGGCGAGAGGCTGTGATGAGGAAACGAGTGGCACAGGGATTGCAACACAAGAAAGTCAAAGGCTGCAAGGGTCCAAAAACCGTATGAGATCAGGAAAGCCTGCTGGCTGTGCAATTTCTTCATTATTTTTGTCTGGAGTTCCTTGTCGGCTTTGCGAGCTACCCGCCGCCTCAATCTACCAACCGTAGAGTTGACTATGCATCGTGGTTTTTGGTGAAAGTTGTCATGGTCGTAACCTGATAGTCTGCATGGGTTTAGTAACCGGGGAAGTTCAACAATTTTGGCAAATGAGACTTTGCTGAGATGTCAAATACCTTTTTGAATGTGGACTGTGGAACCAACTTCTGCAAGTTTCCATGTGCTTTGCCAAACCATCGGCTTGACATTAGTGTTTGCATGGAGTCTACTGTTGAGATCTAACAAGTCAGGTACAAGGCCAAGTCATTAAAAAACCAAAACGCGCGCATTTTTTAATGACCAATACCACCAAATTTATGACAGCGTTATTTAGAAAAGCACACACATTTTAAGACATTGCCATGTGAAAAAATAGTACAGTACTGTATATATTTCACTCTCTGTTTTTCCGCTGAAGTCTAAGTTGCCCACGTCCTGGTATTCAGGACTCAAGCCACGTGGCTAGCTGAGAACAAGCATTGAAGCAGCTTCCGACATCAATCAACAATGTACAAGCGTCAACCAACCAAGCACAATGTAAAGCAACCAAGCACGACATACGACCAATGTCAACTCAATGTATGGCCAATGCTCGACGAAGTCAATGTATTCGACAGCTGTTCTCCCCTCTCAGCCGTCTGCTATGCACAATCAGAAAAACTCTCCGGGAAGCTGGCCTGGAGCAAGCGACCCAGATGGGTTTCAAGCAAGATGATCTTCTGTCTGGCACGACTGCTCAAACTGAACAAGAAAAGTTGGGCCCCAACTTCCTGGATGTAATATTCCAAAGTTCGTAGTCGCTCTCCATTGTATGTGGGAAATGGGCTCGTCCTGAAAGTACTGGTGCGTCGCAGCAGGTCCGCTGAGTGTACCAGGGGCCGCTCCATGTTCGAGCTGTCTGGGAGGGGCCTCCATTGCATCCAACAAGGCATTCCATTGCCTTCGAAACACAGCAATTGAAGCCGGGTAGAGCTTGGAGGGCAGAGACAAGCGTCCAAAGAAACAACGGGCCAACTTGATGACGGAAATGTCATCTACTCTGATGCGCTGACGGCGCGCAAAGCGTGCCATCACGCCGGGTGAGTTCGATGAACTCGTTCGGGCGAAGCATACCTTCAAACCCCGTTGCAACAATGCCAGCAAAACAGGGCCACTTCCACAAAAAGGACAAACAGATCAAGGCTCGAATGACTGGGGCAGACAACACTGCCCTACACTGGCCCGGCTCTTCCATCTGCCACTTGTGATCCACCTGCCGTGCTCCAGAAAGCTGCCTCCGAAACTGCGGTCGAAGTTGTTGTACTGCCGTGATCGTATGGACCAGCAGGTAACGAGGTTTCCCAGTCCTGAACAATGCTAATCCGTATCCACGCAATGCAAAGTCTGCCGCTTCAGAGCTGCTCAAGACCTGTTCAAGATCTAGTTGCACCTCTGTAGCACACCATTGAGCAAAAAGTTTCAAACAACGTTGCATTCTTGTGAAGGTCGCCTGTGACAACCCGCCTAGCATATCTAGTTCACCTCTGGGAGTGTAACCCTCCGGCTTGCCCGGAAGACCAGGGCTTAACCTCAACGTCCCCTGCCATGATCAACAACAATCTGAACCACCGCCCCACAGGCCTCGTCCAGTGAGCTGCAGCTAACATCTAATCAAACAAACGATAGTCACCTTTTCGAAACTGTCGCAACCACTCGGGCTCAGGGCGACTTGGGCTGGGAACTTCAAGATCACGCGATGGACCGTCAGCTCTGTTCCAACTTGACCTGCGATGCAAGATTCCAGGATAAAGCCCACTTCCCAGAACTTAGCCCAAAGAAGCACGAAGAATGTGACTAATCGTTTGTGAAGAACTCCGGCCTCAGGCCGCTGCTCCCATAGTCACGCGAATGTCCAATATGCCCAGGATTCTCGAGTTCACATGAGCTTTTGAACACTGCTTCAGCCAGCTCTTGTGGACTCTGCTTTCCAGACAATTTATGTGGCCAGTCTTCTTGAACCTGTAACGAAACAATTCGCTGTACTGCAATGCTTCACAAAGATGCTTCACAAAGATCTTCAACCCACTCAGGGTCCTCATGCCAAGGCCGAACGGATTCTGCCTGAAGGCGTACTTTATCACAAGCTGCTGGAACTCCCACCTGTGAGCACCCGCCTGTCTGATTGCAACTGCACTTCCTGAGGCCATGCGCCTGCACAAAGGAAGAGGATATGAAGCAGAGTAGCTGCTCACTGCTTTTGCAGGGGACGGTAGGCGGCCATATGCTGTACGAGTATCTGCTTTGCACTTTGCATCTCTGATCAAACAAAGCAATTCCAGCACGAGCCCAAGGAGCACAACCAAGGTTTGTTATGAAACCACTTGCTCGGTTTCTGAAAACCCGACCCAAAAGAACAAAAGGAAAACCTGACAATCCAACATCCCAACTCTTGCAACACTCTGAACGCATGTAGATTGAACATCACAGACCCCGTTTGGCTGCTCGCGTGAAATGAAGCAGCCACTCATAAAGGCAAGTGTCAGAATGGTTTGGACTTGAACCCAGCTGGACAACTCTTCGAGCGTAGCGCCATATGACCAGCATGGTGGCCCAGCGTGCCACTCACGAATGGCGCCTGCACGTGCCAGCTTAGCCAAAACAAGAGTAGCTTTGTCTTACGTGTCACCAAAGGCAGCACCCTTGGCTTCTCGCTCAAGGCCTGGGTGTACTCGCAGACCGGCTTCTGCATGCGCTTTGCTCCAATTCCCCACACCTGAAAACAACTCAACACAGTCATAGATCACAGTCGAGTCTTTCAGATTCCGGGTAGGGTGTGGAGAATGGAGATCGAAAGGCTGCTCTTCCGGGCCAAAGCAATCTTCATGTTCAATGCCCAACTCACGCAACGCCAGGCGAGCGTAGTACCCACGCTGCTCAGTGTGCCTCCAAAGTTCTGAGAGAGCAGAGCTCCCCAAGATAGAAAGGCGAGGCATCCATCATGTACAGCGTATCCGCTGCAGAGGCTCGTAAGTCGGTTCGCATGATGGGCGCCAATATACACAACGTGATGAGCTCGTTGATCGTTTGTGCTGACAAAGTGAAGTGTATGTCTGGGTTGAAACCTTCACCTTCATGGAAAACACTGTGCAAAACTTCGAGCGAACAGCATGACATGGGTCCAACAGCCTAAAACTGCTTGCAAGATCTGTCTTGCGCGCGCCCCTTTAAACACAATGAGGCTGGTGATGTAGCAAAGTGCAGCGATCCGCGTTCGAGGGGCTGACACTCTGCCTGCGGAACCGTGTACTTCATCCCCCAGCACCACTGCGTGTTCTACTTGTCTCTGCCGCTTGCCCGGATGAGCGGTCAACTTTACGTCTGTATACGCACGTTCAGCGTTTGCAAACACCGTCACATCTAGTTGGCTGTGCAGTGTCTCGTTCAACAGAACTGACCCTCTGCAAACCTATGTGACCATCTATCGTGAGGAGTTCATAGAAAGGTCCCCGAGGACACGACCGACGATACTGCAAACACTCGTCCGAACGCATGCAACCCGCCACGACGGCTTTCGAACTGGGGTGTTTGAGTAACTATCACACGAGACTTTGAGAGAATTCAAAAAACTGGAGACATAGTTGAAATCAAAGGTGTTCGAAGAAGGCTTCAATGCACAAACAAAATTACCTAATTCCCAAAGCTTCTGCCAAGACTGTCCAGACTCTGGGTTCCGGCTCTCAAGAAGTAGTCCACCAGCGCTTCGAGGTGAGCTAGCGTGACCTCTTGTTGAGGGCTCGCTGGATAGCCGGCCCGCGCGTACTCAGGCGGCTGCATAGCATGCCCCAGCGTTAGCCAGCTGAGGCAAATCACCAAGGTCTGCAGAGCTAAGGTTCTAATGCGCAGAAACCGGCGCCGTTTCCGACGGCGAGGAGAGAGCAGGTTCGGCGGTGTCCATCGCCCCCAGAGTGGGGGGGGACATGGCCATAGGTCAGATCTCAGTCCTACAGATCCGTCAATGATCTCGTTGATCCAGACTTCGGAGGCTTCCATAGCTGCTGCTCTTCTGGGCCTGCGTGCTTGCTCTTGAAACTCGAACTTGATGAGGAAATAAACAGAGGCGTTTATGAATTGGCTCTCATGAAATGCGATGCCACTTCCCAGCAGACATCTGCTATAGAGGCCCGACACCCAACAGCCTGCCTCTGGTAGTCTCCATGTCCAGTTCGACCAGACGCAATGCCACAGCTTCTCCTCCTCCGGGCAACTCCTGAGCCAGTAAGAAGGCCGACGCCTCTGTAGCATCTGGAAGGGCCACCATGAAACCTCCGGCTCGAACGCCAAGAAGGTAGCCCAATGCACGAAATCCCAAGCCGTCTTCTCGGGGTGAGCAATCGAAGAAACACACCTGGCAACCGGCCGGTCGGCCCCAAGGACCCATACAGGGCCCGGACAGCTGCTTCGTTCAATCCCTGGACGCCCGCTGAAGCGGACGAGGCCATGCTCTTCTTGCTCCGTCACAGTAGGCTTTGCCTTCAGCCTGCGAAGGAAAGCCGCGACTCACCGATGATGGATGGAAGCGGGCGCTGCCCTTTGACGTTCTCCAAATACAAGGTGTAATTCTCAGTCCACCCGGCAGCAAAACCAGGAGCTGGTCAAAGGATCACGTACACACGGTTGGACAAAGGAAGGTCCCGCTTCTCAACAGCAGGTGGTTGAGCCCCTGCCAACTCAAATCTTGAAAGCCAGCCCAGTCGATAAGCGCGAGCAATGCGTGCCTTCGGAGTCCAGCCTCCGTGTGCTGCCGGCAAACGAGAAGTCAATGATGACAACTTGAGAGGAGGGAGACACGAAAGGTAGGACAGCGGGAAGAGAAGAGAACGCGAGAGGCAGGAACAAAAATGCAATATTCGACATGGTGATTTATCCCCTCGGAGGCGACCTTTCGTAAATATATGTTCGTATGCACTCTAAATGTTCAAACATATGCTCTCGAAATGTTTCAAAAAGATTCTTAGGAAAACAAACTTGCCCCATGGCTCAGATCATCGGTGAGCATTGAATCGGAACATCATAGGATTTGAACTATCCTGAAACCATAAAAGGCTCAGAATTGACGTGCTTCACAAAACAAACTCTAGGTATGTATCCCCTCGGGGAACACCTTTCGTGATTTGAATTTCATATTCACTCTTTCTGAATGTTCAAGAGGGTTTCAACTATCCTGAAATCATGAGAGGCTCACGAAGACGTTCTCCAGGAGAGAAAATTGATTTTAGAGGGGGGGAGGGGGGGGGTTGTTTTGAAAAAGCAATTCGAGGGGGGGGGGGGGTGGGGGGGGGTCTGAATTGAGCGATCAATTATTAGACCCGGACGTCCCAACACTTGCTTCGCAAGACAAACTCAAGGTATCCCCTAAAGGGCTACCTTTCGTGATGAAGGCAAGCCCAAGCGCTCAAGAGCTTCTGGTGTGCTGGCCTGAATGAGCGAGCGCTCCCAATCAGCCGGTAGCAAAAGGACCCCCAAGTCTCTCGTTGCACCCAAAGAGGAAATCCCGCTGCAGGCGAATCGTAGCCGCACCGAAGGTTGGCCTCTGGTGGCCCTAGCGCCTGCAAGGGCACCCGAGGAGGGGACCTGAGAGACGAGGCTGAACGAGCTTTCGCTCGCTAAATTCCGTAGGAGCTCCTCTTCGAGGAGTGTGCTGCTGAACCCTAATGGTGAGGTTGCCAAATGAAATGTGCAGCCACTGCCACACCCCACACCAAGCCAGAAGGCACTGAGGACCAGAAGCGCAAGCAAAGCCCAGGAAGGACCGGCGCACGACGCCGATGGCAAGAAAAACCGAAGCTCGCGGACAAGATCGACCACGAACGCCCACTGCATGCACTTTGAGCCGGGATTTCTTGAGGACTCCAGCTGTCCATTCAATGATAGGAGGCATGTTGCCTTATATGTGTCATATTTTAAAATGTGTTTCATAAGTTTTCGAGATGTTCAATAAGTTGTCTAGATTCTCATGCGTCGCAAAACGTTCAGTGTTTTTTCCAGAAGTTGTTTCATAAACGTTCCATATGTTCATAACATTTCTATTTTCTGGATTTGCGTGCAAATGTTCTTTTGCAAAGTAAAAGACATGACAATTTTACGCGCCCATTCGCCAATTTAGACAATGAACAGCTTGCGTATAAGTCAGAGCTAGACAAATAGATCGCATTATATAGTTATAGTTTTTTTGGCAACGCTCTCTGCAAGCACAAAAAAAAATTTAAAAGCATATGTGTTCATATGTTCATTCATATTGACAATTTATGTTCTTATATAAATAAGGCCAAGCCAATAAAACAATCTTGAAGTGGTTTGTATCAACTTGTACTGTAGGATCTCAAGTCTACTGAGAGTCTACTGATCGAGTCCCAAGGATGTGTTGCTGCCCTGCCATAGGGCGGCATATGTCAAGTCGATGTCATAGTAGGCAAGCACGGAAGGCCGTACGTTATGCGGTCATGCTCAGAAGGCTGTACATTACACCTGTGAAAGGTCGGCACACTGTGCATCTCAGCGGCACTCAGCAAGGAATGAGCTCGAGCATCTGGAAGGGACTAGGCTGCGCCACCAGCAAAAAAATATTGAAAAAACAGGTCTTGTTTGCAGCAAAAGTCTGAACAGTAGCAGGACAAGCAGCCCGTAACTTTGCAAACTGAAGCACTCGAGCTTTAAGGGGAGCTTCCCTTTCCAATTGTCTTTCTCGACATTCAGCTTGATCCAGGTTGTGAGCCGAGGCACTAAGAAATTGAGAAAGGAAAACGCGGTGACCAGGAGGATGCTCAGACCTGGAATGTGAATGCGTGAAGGAAAAACATATATATATATATAGTTGTGTGACTGTTGATTCAGTTGCAGTTGAAGCCTGAAACAGGCTTCACACTGCTCAAGCAAAAAGAGGGAGTTGCGTGCCAAGCAGTGTTTTAGCTGCGTGGCTCCGTGCGCCATGCATCTCAACCCGCAAGCCACCCCACCATTGAAAATGGGCGGAAAAAAAAACAATGCAAAGGGCACCTACACACCTTGATGAATGCGCTACACAGCACTAGGAGCCGTTTCGGTTCCTGTTCTGACAGGCGGGGGGTCGAGCTGATTAGGTCTGCTAAGGGCCCCTTGAAGGCAACCTTTCATGTAGCCAAAGCTGCCTACAGGCGCACATTAAATGTCGACTCAGTTCTTTTTCAGAACCAATGAGAATAGTCTTTTCCGCAGTGGAACATAGAAAAAACACAGCAGGTGCAAACCAAATACCAAAACCAAATACCAAACGGTTGTCCACAAAAAATGAACATCGAAGACCAACAAACGGTGGCATCTCACCGTTCTTTTTGGGCACATGTTGGTCGGTCCCGACCTCTCTGCCCCGGTCTTCCAACGTGTACATGAACAGCAGGGTGTGATGATGGCAACTACTGAGCGCACATCGCTGTGGCATGTCGAACATGTATATACTGATACTGTTGTCCCATCCATGCAAACTTAAAGCTTTGTCTTTTGTGTGTTGATGTTTTAACTTATGAAGCTAGAATTACGCAAAGAACCGAAAGTTCCCCAAATATGTTCTAAGTGACAACATTGAAATCATTGGGAGGTCAAAAGCGCGTATCTGACTATATCTGTGCGCAATCGCCTGTACAAGGCAGAAGCGCAATCGCCCCTTCCCTCGCACGGCGGAAAATTAATCATTGCAGCCAGGTTCAAAAGAGGAAATTGATTGGTCTCGTGACGGTTTGCTGATCTGCTACGGCTCCAATCTCAACCTAAGCTGGATACCAATCTCATCCAAGCTCAACTATCCATCCTGTCACTTCCTAGCCTGTGTGGACAAGTTGCTGTGTGTGTTGAACAATTGCACCAATTTGGTCTGCCCTTGGCCACGAGAAGGTAGCTCATCCGGAGTTGGTTTTCCAATGAGTTTCATCCATGCATCAGCGGCTTTCCGTGGCAGAAGAAAGCTACGTTTGACAAGTTGAAACTACCATCAGCTCTGAGTCGACTGAGCCAAGGCTCTGGTCCCAAACGGGCCTGCACGACGCCGTTTGGACAGAGACACCAGGCGGTGGCGCCATTCCCTTCACACCACCTGTACCAGCAAATGCCGTCTGCAAGGCTCCCTGTGAACCAAAAGAACAACAGCCCACTTGGCCGGGATTCTTAGACTTCTGAGCCGGTCTGGACACGTCAAGCGGCACTGAAGGGCTTCATGAAACTCGAGCCACTCCTCGGCGAGAGGAAGCATGGCAGCACAACTGTGGCAATTGTTGCAAGCACTCAACTGTCAAAATAAGTAGCATTCAAACATCATCAAACCATCAAACAGTTCCATATCATCCCAGTGTCCCAGCAAAGTCGCAGGGGCCCCTCGAATTTCCATTCCACTGTCTCAAAGCGCTTGCACGCAGGAAGGCCTGGGCATGCTAACAGGCCGTTGGCCCAATTTGATTTGTAGCGCGATGGGAGCTGGGAAGGGCAGGGTGCGCAGCGACTGGGGGAGAAGACCTCAAGTCCGTCCCACAACTCCAAGAGTTTGCGGGGGTTTTAGAAACATGTATATATATATATTGTTATCATATATATGTTTCCCTATGTTAAAAAGCAACATTGGTCGGCCTTCCTGCGGGCCTCCTCCAACCTTGGGGCACTTCGGGTGGCCTGTGGTCGTAGTTCAGCCCTCATCTCGCAAGCAAAAGATATGATAACATATCAATGACAAGTTGCATTTTTGAGCACGCGTAGTTCACACTAAGCCCTTCGTTGATTACAGGCCTATCAAAATCAATATAAAGTATAAAATCCGTTGGTCATATCGCATGTAACTAGTGTTAATAGATTAGAAGTTGATTGAATTTGGAGTCCTTGCTCTTATCTTACTATGGATGCTCTGCCACTCTTGCCCATGCCTCGATTGTTTTCATTGGGCGCTAAGTAAATTCACGGGGTTCAGGGCTCAGTCCTTAAGACACACACTAGGAATTTATTGATGGGGCCCCCATGAACTACTCCCCTGCAAATGAACATGGAACCCCAAAACCACTGGGTTGTAGAGGAAAATTATCTTCTACGGGTGAATTCTCAGGTTACATGTTGGTTAGTTTAAGGGGGGTAGATAATATATTCTATATGATTGAATTGCGATTGCCCAATTCTTTTGAAATCTTATCACCCGCCAGATGGGCCCGGTTGGCGACATGAAAAAAGAAAACTCTGCCCACAGGATAAAAATGAGTTTAAGTTCCAAAAGGTGTCAATCACGAATAACATATTGGACAATCATTACCCTTCTTCTCCGTATCTCCTGAACCAGATACAACTCTAGGAGCCTAAATGAACTCGCTGCCAACTTGGTAATCAAACTGCGCACTTACCACTGCAGCCTGCAGCCCATCTCTCCAAGACACCACACTGGCTAAAGGCACGTTCTGCCATACTGCCGCTTTGAATGTTGAATCGCATTATAGTTGTGTCCTAGGTCAAAAGACTCAAGGAATCTTTAGGAGCTGCTTTGAGACCCTTAGAGCCGCTAGGGGGTAAGCAGGACACCACTCCGGACTCTCCGTTGGAAAAAGCCTGGAAACGCGAGAATAAGCCACGACTCGTATATCGCCGGAATGCCCGGATAACTGGCTGAATCAATCCTCTCCACAAAGCCTCGGCTCCAAATTGCAAGACCCTGTGCCATGTGCATCGTATCTCGACTGTGCGAGGCCCCTGGCACTGTTGCCGTACACACCCTGCCGAAAGCAAGTATGAGACTGAGTCATGGAATGTCATGAATACCGTCCGATTTTCTGATGTGCCAAAGCTTTGTGCCACATATATAGAGGCACATCGATTCCAGTGCAAACCTTGTACAGTATATTGTGGACCCTCCCTTCCCGGCCAGTCACTACTAGCCAGGGTGCAAATGTCTTCTTGTGGAGAATGCACCTAGGTTGAGCCAAACCAACACATCCAAAAGGATTGGTGAATCCAATGAACGTCGTATAGGTATAGTGCGATCAGAAGAATGGCAAGGCACTAAGCCTTCAGTGTCCTTCGTCACATCCACATGCAGCTCTTCCCGCATCCCCCGCAATGCTGCATCGACACTCGAAGCATCATCCGGCCACTGAGCAAAGGGTTGTGGTGCAGAGCGGATGTGAAAATGGGACGATTGTGGCAACGCAACTGCAGATTTAGACCGAGCACCAGCCAATATTCTGATCCAAAAGAATGGAGCATGGCTTCTCCAATTGAAACAATGGAATTGATGGGTTGGTCTGGGACCTCGGAAAATTGGACAGAGAATAGAAAGTTTTGGAAGTATGCACATGCAAGCACTGGCACCCAAGTCTGTGTGGTCATTAGCACGGTTTTTGCATACCATGCCGTGCATGTGCAGGGCATGTGCACGCGTTACCTCAAAGTTTGCGGGCCTTCTTCTCTGCTAGGACCGTTGCATGCTGACGCTCCGAGCCGTTGGGAAAAATCTTGGTTCGCTCGACCAGCACTTTGCCGTTGTAGGTGATCTGAACAAATATCGGCTCTACCCACCTCAAGATTCGCGGCTGCGGTCTGCGGCATACAGAAGTTGAAGAATCAAATGACATGAGTTCTGCATTTCACATGGGCATGGAAAATCAGAGGGCAACGAAGAGGGAAAGCCGAGCTGCCTGGATAGCCTCGAGGCAAAATCAGCTGGCGCTTGCAATTGCAAGCCCCAAGCAGATTGCATGCATGTTCAGTCTTCCACGAAACAAAGTTTATGACCGATGGGAGGCATGCAAATGAAACAATCAAACCAACGCTTTTCTTAGAACCTCTCTCTCTCTCTCTTGTGTTGGGGATTCTCATTGGCTACTGTGGCCCGTGCCATCTGAGGGGTTGGTGCACCGTGATCTTCAACTCTCCTCCGAGCTTAGGGGCTTTATTAGGCCAAGTGCCTGGCATCTGGACCGCATGGACCACCATGGTTTGAAAACTTCAGTGGTCGCCGCTGAGGACCCCGCTTCTTCTTCTCAACGCGCAGGCTGCAGCTGCCTTCCTTCAGCTCTCGCAGAAGTGAGGCAGCGGGCTTGGCTTTGCCGTCGCCCCAGGACCTCGGAAGTTCGCACTTGTATGACCATCCACCCATAAAATGATCCCGTTGTCGCCTTTGTCCTTGATTGATGATTCTCGTGGTATTGCTAGGGGGCTTCCAAAGCCTGGGGATCACCGCCGGATCACCTCCGATTCTTGGGGCGCAAGGAGACCACCGAGAGCAGCCGAGCTGCGAGGTGTCAACTCCATAGCTGAACAAGAGGTCTGTGAGGGCCTTGCTCGTGCTGAACATACCTCCTGATACGATGGTTCTATGTATATAGATGATTGTAGAGTTGCCAATGGTGGACTCTTCTAGATTCTAGATACTAGTGGTAGCAAGTGAGCTGAACAACTGTGTTTGACAGAATTTTTTGTTGCATTCAAGGATAGTACCGCATCCAGCTTCCTCAAGAAGGCTTTGGAAGGCTTTCAGTGACTCATGCAAAGGTCTCGCATTTTCTGCGCCTGCTCGTCGGGAGGGCACCGCACCACTTGGGACCTTTTGGAAGACAGAATGCCAGGGATATTGAGGCACACCATGGCGAACGAACTCAACGGTTCGGGATCAGGGACTGTTTTCAAAAGTTGCTACCTGCCTTGGAGCTGTTTGGCATCTAAATACTGTAATTTTAGATATCCTACCTACTCAGTCGGGACTTGAGCCAAAATCATGTTGGTTGCCAAGCGGTGACGGTGATGCCCCTTCGGAGCATTGGGCAATAGCCAAAGTGCATCATATGAACAAAGTTATTTCATTCTTTACTGCCTTCTCGATCCAATACACCAAGTAATCAAAGCACGTACCAAACCCACAGACGCAACGAACGCTTTAAAAAACAACAACAAAACAACCAGTAGAGTCAGTAGAGCAAACAAACAACAAAAGTAGGAAAAGTATAGAAAGCCAGAAAAGCAACACAAACTCAAGGTCTGAAAAGCAAAATTAAAGAGCAACGGCAACAAAGGGCATGGAAAGCAAAAGCAACTTTAAAAAATGAAATAATGCGCCGCAAGAAGACAAGAGGCAGGAAAGTAAAGAAAAGAAGTAGAAAAGCTAGCAAAAGGAAGATAGTACAACAAAGCAGGAAAAGCCAGAAGAGCGGGAGATATCACAGAGAAGCAATGAAAAGAAAGGAAAAGCAAGACAAGCACCAAAAGAAGAAGGAAAAGCAAGAAATGCATGAGAAGTGAAAGAGAAGCAATGCAAAGCAATGAAAGGCAAGAAAAGCAGCAAGAAGCAGGAAAACCACGGAGGAGCGAATCAAAACCAATCCCTAAACTAAATCAAAAAGAAGCTCCTTAATACAATGTACATTGTACTCACCGCACTACCTGCGGGCACAACACCCCATACATCTCCGCATCGTTTGCGCAAGGAAGCGCCCTTGACAAGTCATCCTGCACAACAATCCACTGACACTGAGAACCCAGCTGAAGATGTACCAATGAAACCCTGGCAAGGAGTGAGTGTTCTCTTCATGGACTCTGATTCTGAGCACGTGGAGCATGGCCTGGTCCTTTCGCAGGTAACTGCTCGGTGTCCTCCTCTCCTGAAGGAGTCGAAAATCGCTGCACTCATGTTGCTCCAAGACTCTATGGACCTTTCTAGCCGATTCTAGCCTACCTTCTGCAACTAAGCGCACCAACGCAAGGAGGCACGCTTGGACACAAAGGACGCAACGCATACCACCACAGCAGTGTCCTTTCCGACGCTTCTTGCGCCGCACCCTAGCGGGTTTCATGCCTCAAGCTGCTTGGCTGACCTCGGAATCCCACGACGAGGGTGTGCTCAGAAAATCACATGTGAAAACATGCTCAAACCTTGCATCATGGTCATCTTGCTTGATGTAGATGTCCGGGAGAAATTACCGCACGCAAAAATAAGGCAGCAAGCACCACACATGCTACTGTACTGTACCAGTTGTTTCTCATGCCAAGGAAACACCCAGCTACCCAAATAGAACATTCCCAAATGCTAAGGCACCCCCGATGGAACATTAAGGAAAAGCTGTGGCGGTCTATGGCCGCATAGGCCAAGTCGGCATGTTTTTTCCAACGGTCTTCGCTCCGTCACCTTTGGATCGGCTCGCTCCGCCAAAACCGCGACTCGAGTGGGCTGTGGACAGTCTGACGGCGGATTCGGGCACCACATGCAACAGAGTGCTACATCTTAGCTCCACCAGACTGCCACCCATACAGTCTTCTATCTCCGCTTCCTCAGAGTCGCTGAAGCGTTCGCATGAGCACTGCTCAGTTATGAGCCCGTTGTCGGTCTCATCTTTGGACAGTTCGAAGCGTGACAAGTCTCTTTGACGAAGCTGATGCCTGAACTGAACGACTGCTGCTCGAAAAAGCGTCACTCGACTGAGTTGCGGGCGGACAGATCGATTGACCGTCACGCTCCGTCAGTTGGCGAAGCAAAGGCTCCACCGTTAAAGCTTTTGTACAGTTGGCGCGCCCTTTGCCGCTGAGCTGTGGGAATCCAGGCTCAACAGCTGTCACAATTGAATGGTTTCATCACATAGAGAAAAACTATCGCCAAAATAGCCTTAAGAGTCCTCATGACCTCAAACGCATTGCAAAGGTGAGGGCTGCCAAGGGGACATTAACTGGCCTGAGAGCCCGCGCCGAACTAACTGCAAATAGTTTGGCTGCGGACGACAGGGCTCATGATGACTCACAAATCACAAAGATCAAAGTACAACGAAACAGCGACCAGCATTGCAAAGCTGGGGCACGGCCTCGTTGCTTCTAAGTAGAAAACGAAATGCGAGGGCATTTGGGCACAGCTTCCGTTTGGACTCCATCTTCTCACTGTTCCCAATCGTCCTCGAGGTCCATCGTTTCTCCACAGCACCAGGTTCTGAAGGACACCACGCCACATCCGAAGAGACAAAGCGCTTGCCGGACAGGCACAGGGTCACCCTTCGTTGCTGGTTGACATGTCCTTTCTCTTTGGAGCTTCTGTGGATCTAAAGATGTAAGAGTTTGGATGATTTTGGATGTTCCTTTTGCGTCACAACGCCGGCGCTGTCAAGCTGTCGACTTTCAAATTTTCACTGGAGACCTTGTGGGTCTTGTGGGACTCATCTTCCACGGTGTAGAACCCTCAGCGCTCAAAGTCTACACAGCAACAGCTCTCCCCCAAACCCAATCAGCACTCAGTCATTAATACATACAGTAATATGTTTCATGGCAGTTATAGGTGTGCTTTATCGCCTTGTCGGGGAGTTCCGAGTTTGGTCGAAACTCATGGCCTTCGGAGGTCTTGGCCTTCACGATGCCACGCCATCCTGAGGCAGACAGAGAGCGCACGGTCCAAGATCGCACCAAAACCAGGACTTGGGGGGTTGTCGGACGACGGGGGCTACATAGTGAGTTTTTCAGGGTCATAGCCAAGCACAAAGCATGTAGGGGAAAGGTGTCTAAGGAGGATTACAGTGTGAGTTGAGAACACTAGACTCCTTGAGGTTCTATCGAAAAATATTGAAACGGCGCATCATCTGCAACCAAACAACACTAGGCTCACCAGGCTCGACAACGAACGGAATGGTGGGTTCATTTCTTGACACCACCCAGCGGAGTGAAAACGAGAACATCCACATAATGTAGACGCTTGATTCATGAACCCCCCCATTTGGAGTGTATAACCTCTTCGCAGGGGGTTGAAATATCAAGTCTCTACATTAGGCACACTTCCTAGACTTAGACAGAGTAGCTAGAAGCTACTAGGTGGAGGCCATCGCAATTAGGTTGAAGGCCATCGCTACTAGTAACAAGAAACTACTAGTTAGTAGCAAAGGGTCTCTTCGACCTTTTCCCCCCACGGCCTCCACGGCCCCCACGGTCCCGGCCTTTCGCCCCTTTGGTGCAGACCTCGACGGGATCGCCAGGCATGAAGCTGCCCCCTGCGTGTGACCGCGTGACCGGCCCAAATCAGGACGTTGCTTCAACTTCTTGGGGGACAGATCTGCCAAGAACCCGTGTGGCCCGTCTGCTCGTCCAAATCAAGCACTCAAGCCCGCTTGGCCCTGCCTCCTTACTTGATTACGCACATGTAGGCACCCACTAATACAATTGAGGAAGGAGGTAAGCTACTAGGAAGCTCCTAGCTAGGACGCAGGATACCTCACGCTCGCACTGATGATGTGGTTCCTAGATTGCTTGAGTGGATAGCTCACGCTTCATCTGCATCGAAACCTGGGCGCAATCCCTGGTCCTGCCTACAACCACGACGACCCAAGGCTCTTCAAAGTCTGCCAAGGCCTTTTGGCGATCCTTTGGCAAATTGCAAGCAGCGCGCCCGGCATAACTGCTGGAAGGGGGTTCAATACACCTTTGCTTTTTTCAGTCAACTAAGCCAATGAAGCACGAGCGCATGCTAAAGTGGTGTGTGAGCTCAACGGATCGGTTGTTCCCACCAACTTCTGCTGCAAGTTCCCCGTCAATGCACCGCTCAGGTGTTGGCCACGGCACCAACAGGCCGGCGGACAAATTCTCTGGTTCATAAGTTTGTCCCGGTCCTCCTCGGTGGCTTTTCCTGTGGCCAACAAGACCCACATTGACATGCTCGCAGCCAAATTGCCAGCTCTTTGAGAACAAGAAATCTGGGTTTGCTCAGCAACCATAACCCAAAAAAGAAAATGTATATCTGGATTTTAGATCGGCATTCATACTCAAAAGTTACGAGCCAAGCCAAACCCAAATCACACAAAACTGGTGCCTGGCACTCCCGCCTGGTGGTGGAGAGCCTTTTCCACAAGCCAGCCGTAGCGCTGCACCAGAAGTGACCAACAGAAGCTGGCCACCGAGCAAGCCAACCTTGGGAGAGATCTCTCGAGGTCTTTTCCGAGGACCTTTCCAAGGACCCTTTGACTCTGGATTTGTGGATGACCGAGCCCTCATCACGTTTCTTATCGTTGTTTTCGCCTGTTGCTGTTCTGGGTGTTTCCTCTGTGTCTCGCTATCGTTACTTCCCGTCCAATGCCCTTGCTTCATCTTGCTTCCTTGCCATCTCATAATCTCAGTCTTGCTCCATTCGATGCAGTGACAAGTCGCTCTCTCTCTCTCTCTCCCACTCTCTGTGCACAATCCCAGCAGCGTGTCCTCCTGCCTTGACCAGTTCACCTGGGGCAAAGTCATTGAGCAACTACACAAGTGCCCCAACAACCCCCATTAGTGACAGCCTTTGAACAAGTCTATAGTCTATAAACTATTATCTATGTACTATATATACCCAGTTTTGCTGTTCCTCCTGCCGATAGTGTTGTTGAAAGGGAATGGCACAAGTGCAATCTCGGGGTAGGTGTCGCACAAAACTGACGGTGGCATCCATTCCCACTGAGCTCACCACATCCACAGGTAATGAGTTGAGATGCAGCGGAGCCTGGTAGCTGTCGAACCTCAACGTCGGCAACCCTAATGTTTGGAAACCTCTTCAGTTGCGCCACCCTGAGCTACAAAACATGCTGAAAAATAGACAAACAAGATTACATGGCAAAACTTGGAATTGGGTGCCGATTGGAATGCTTGCCACGAGGACGGCAAGGCGTGTCGAATTTGGTGTTTCAAACGCAAAATGCCAACACGAAGGCTTAGCGTGGCACCTTGCGAAGGCTGAATTGAAGCCACGACTCAGCCTTAGCTGTTCTTCAAAAACTTAACGGTCCTCCCTGTACCAAAGGCACCACAACCCACACATTCAGGCTGAGAGCTGATCATTTCAATTGAACAGCTCCAAATTAAGGCACTGGCAGGCACAGGTTCATCTGCAAACAAATCCAGCACACAATTCATTTGGCACTCTTCACCTCAGTTGGATTTCTGTGTGTCGTTCCCCGCTCTCCCGAGTCTCATGACCGAATGTCTCATCAATGACTGAACGACCGAATGCCTCATTATGTCTCTTCTCAATTGGGTGCAAGCCATCAAACTATCACACACATAGCATTTTGATGCATTTGTTTGTACACTACGTGGAGTGGCATTCGTTTAGCTAGGCATCTTGTTAGGACATAGCAAGTGGATCTAAGATGTCGGGTGCGTTCACAAATCTCCTCTCCAACATGCTGGGGATCAAAGCTAAGCACTGCAAGAAATCATGACGTGTGCAACCGCAGCGCCCCAGAATGAGTAACCTGGCAGCTGCCTTGCATTGAAACTATTGGCAGCATTGATACTGTGCGGATACCAAAGTTTGCACACTGTAGCTGACTCTAGCTTGCTGCTGGGCGTCAATACCAGCAACCATCGTTGTCAAACCAACCAGCATTGCTGAGCTCAAAACAGCTCTCCTGAGTTCCAAGGCGGGGCTCTGAAGTCAGTTCCCGGAAAATGCACTGCTATGAAAATGCATGTATATACGCGTTAAGCTTTGATGTTGCTTGTGTTAATTGCATTTTGTGCTACGCTTTCACACAACCCAAGAAGAATGAAGAAACACAAACTTGGTCAGCTCATCTCAACCTGGAATCGCTGAAATCTCAGACCGAAATCATGACTAGTGTGTTCGCGAAAATGATCCACAATGAGACGTCACAAAACCTTCAGTGGTGCGGAGCATACACCGGAAATCTGGTCACAAGCAGTTGATAGCAGTTGACCCAGCTCACAGGCACGAGCAGCGAACTGCCAAATCGAACAGCACTGCACTTCAAGCCAATTGTATCACTTCCCTCCCTGATTCCAAGCTTCACAGCGCCTGTAGCCGAAAAGCCAGCACAAGGTCTCTTTCACCATCCTGCGGAACCTTTGGCTCCTGAACAGGGAGCGACTTGGAAATGACAGCCTTTGCTGGAAAGCTAGAAGTCAAGCACACTAAGCATACTTAGGACCTGCAGTAGGATTGGTATGAGTCAAGTTTTGTTGACCCTAACTGCCCCACGGCAACCAAGCTTTGTGCTCGAGCGCTGAGATTCAAATGCGGGAATAAACCCAAGTTGACAGGACTTGTAACAGTACAATTTACAGTATCCTTCAACCAGCACGCAGCATGTCATTGAAAATGGCCAGAACCTCGTCTGGTTCTCCACATGGTTTCTCAACCTGATTGTTACTGAGTCCAGCCAATCGTCACTCACCAACCAGGAGCCATCGTTATTAGGTTGGAGGCCATCGCTATTAAACTCGTGGTGACCCAAACGTCCTGTTGTTTGGCAGCGGAGCTAGCGCATCACCAGAACTAAGAGGCGGCGAAGCTGCCCGTCTAATTGAGCCAAGCTTGTGGACAAGAACACAGGCCCAGCCAGGAAGAGCCACACTGTCACGGGCACGTGCATTTGCATGCAACAAATATGTATTTACAGTGCTTATTTTGTCTTGATATGTCAGCAAGCTTGGGCATGGTTGGGGACATTCAAGCTGGCAGAACATATTACTAGGGCATCCTGTGAGGACATGTATATAAACATGCAAGATCCGGCACAACTTCCTCCAAAGAAGCCGGGATCTTAAAGCCAGATGCGAAAATGCCTTGCACATCATTGCACACATTGCAACCGTTGTTCAATTGACCTGTTTACCGTCGCTGGTTGTGGGAAGTTGGGACAATCACAACTTCTTGGTCTTCCTCCGTGTGCGAAAAAATTGAAGTCATTGCTGCACGTGGCTGCTCTCATCATCTTGGCGCCACACGAGCTCGAATTCATGTCTTGGCCCTCCAAAAGGCGCAACATGCTGAAACACGCCGCAAAATCAAGCAAAAACTTACAAAAGCCTAGCCTCAACATCCACAAGCGTGGTTGGCACTGGTCCGAGTTTTTAAGCATTCTGAGGAACCTCTACTATGTGACTACGAAAGCATCCTGATATTGTACATTTCAAACCTTCAAACCCCTTTGTCTCAACATAGTTCCTAAAGCATTGTTCAGAGTTTTGTGCACCTGTGAGCGTGCAGCTACAGCCCTAACTGGCCCTAACTACGCCTTCTCCATCCAAAGGTGAGCACTAGTCACTAGTCTTACATCAAAAGCTCGAAATGGCAGCAACATGTATCCATCATGCACATCCTTGCTTGGGGCCAATGCACAATCTGACTATAGTAGCATCCTGCTCTTTCACCTGACTACAGAAGCCTCACCACTTCTTGAGACTCTGAAACCTTTTTGGCGACATCACCTTCACCATGAAGAACATCATCTCCTCCGGATAGACCATGGTGCTACGGTGAAAAGCACGAGTTCCGGGAGCGTCTGCTTTGGACACCTCCCAACCGTCGCCAAAGCAGGGCCGGTAGGCCGTGCCACAGCGCAGCCGGGCGGCTGCACGGCGCAAAGCTGCAAGGTCCTTGTCCTGGGGGATATTGACTGGGAGTAGTAACAAGTGCCTTACTACTAGTAACAAGAAGCTACTAGTAACAAGATGTAACAAGTGCATCGCTACTAGTAGCAAGGACGCTACCACTGCCTTTGGGATAACTCTTTAGGAAATCGGACGACTCGAATAGGTCGAACAGAATATGTTTGATGGCATCACCGTTTATAAAGACAAAACAAAATACAATATTTCTCTTGAGGTAGGTCATGGCAAACGCTTGGCATCTCATGACTCATGGTCCTTCACCTCTGCAGCGCCACCAAGCAAGCAATGCGGGCTGCCACGATCTGGAGCTGCATGTTGGACACAGCAGAGGCTATGAGTATCTATGAGTCATGAGTCATGAGCTGGGCCAGTGCCCAAAAGCAACACCTCACTAAAATGGTTTTGCATGGTCTCTCATCGTATCTCTCATGCAGTGCAAGCACCACCGCCACCACCGCGCCAAGCACAGCCCAAAACTTGCCCTCCGCAAGCATCACGCACCCGAAAGGCCGCAGGAGCCTGGGACGCCCCTCGCACCAAACATCACCAGACTGGCCCAGTAGGAGCAACGACGCTACTAGGGGCTCCTGGCAATACTACTACGAGCAAGGACGCCACTAGGGGCTCCTGGCCTCACTACTAGGAGCAAGGACGCTACTAGGGGCTCCTGGCCTTACTACTCTAGGAGGAAGGACACTACTAGGGGCGGACGCTACCAGGGGCTCCTGGCCTTACTACTAGGAGCAAGGACGCTACAGGGGCTCCTGGCCTTACTACTAGGAGCAAGGACGCTACTAGGCCTTACTACTATAGGAGCAAGGACGCTACTAGGGGCGGACGCTACCAGGGGCTCCTGGCCTTACTACTAGGAGCAAGGATGCTACAGGGGCTCCTGGCCTTACTACTAGGAGCAAGGACGCTACTAGGCCTTACTACTATAGGAGCAAGGACGCTACTAGGGGCTCCTGGCCTTGCTAAGATAGGAGCAAGGACGCTACTAGGGGCTCCTGGGCTTAATGGTAGCTACTAGGGGCTCCTGGCCTCACTACTAGGAGCAAGGACGCTACTAGGGGCTCCTGGCCATACTACTAGGAGCAAGGACGCTACTAGGGGCTCCTGGCCTTACTGCT